GGAAAGACCTCTGGATGAACCCTTGCCCTTTATAAATGTTTTATTTCTTCCGCCCCAGTGCTTCACGGCATCGTGTTGCTTCCAAGGCAGCCCAACACCATGCTGGGAGTATAAACTTTGCGATAAACTATGTTTCAGGTGAGGAGAAAAGAGCCCAGAGCAATTAAAGACACACAGATCACCAAGCAAACAATGATCATTTGTTGATCTAGGCAAATAACATTTAAAAAAACATATGCATTCAGCAGAAATTATGGCTTATCATCCCATTTCTGAATGAAAATAATGCAATGGAAACTTTCAATAATTCATCTCTGCCTGGAAATACCTTGAAAAACTGTCCTCCAAGCCAGTCCGGAAGTGTGAGTTTTCTGCTGGGCGGTTTCAACAGTGCTGACCACAGATGGGATTTTTTTTTTTTTCCCCGTCTTCTTTATATCTTTCATGTGTCTTCCGGAGAGAAAAATTGAAAACTCTGTCCCTACACCCATGCAAATGCTGGTCAAATCAAGTCCTTCTCCCTACACTGCACAGACCACGTATTAACTGTGACTAAGTTGAGGTTGTGAAATAGTTCCAGAGACAGGGGAAAACTTGGAGCTGGATCTTCATGGTTTCACCTTGCTTGAGGAGCTCTATATAAATTCCAGGTGTCTGTCTTCTGGGACGTTATATTTAGCTTTGTGCTCCTCAAAGAGCTTGCACAATTCATTTAGGTATTTCTGATGGACTTGATCAACCTCTTCCTTGGAGGGTCTGTGCTTCCTCTGCACTGGAATTGGCTTCCCAACTGGAAAACAAGCTCAGGTAAGTAAAAAGTACTGCATCCCAGTGCAGTCCTGACAGCTGCTCCTAACATCTCAGATGTGCTGCAGATAAAGACAACATCATTATAATATTTGTGTTGGACTTTCCAAGCTGTTCCCACATGGCCCTGGGAATCTGCATTGCAAATGGGGAAACTGAGGCATGGCAGAGCCAAAGACTATCTAAATACACTAGCAATTGGGGTCCTTCCCCTTTGCTCAGATTAAAGCTTCTGTGAAACATCTGATTTTTATTAGGCACCAAGTACCCACATATCTTTAGAATATCATGCTTTTTTCAAGGGCAAATCTAATTAATTTGATTCACAGCACTAGCAGCAACCTCTTCCCCTCTCCCAGGGCCACCAGCAGCAGGCCTGGGTGCCTGCAGGGGACAGGGAAGTCCATGAGATACTTCTCTTGCTCTGATCTCTTACTCAAATTGTGTTTGTCAAGTGGCGGATGGTCTCATCATCATGTAACGCTGCTCCTCATAGGACTAATTAAGAGTCCTTGTGATACTGCACAGCTCATAAAACCATTGACACAATCCAAACAGGTTGTAAAACAATTAGCAGTAATTGCTGGCTGTCAAACCTAATCAGTGGGGTGAGCTCTGACCTTTCCAGCCTCTTTAATTAGACTAATTCACAGAGCATCAGTCACACCAGTGGGCCAAGCATGGAATTGTTGAAAGCAGGTGAAGCTTCCTCAAAACCTAAGACCTTCTTGAAATTTGTTTTCCCATGGGCATGGTGTCTGGTTGAAATGACTTGTCTTGTTCACGTGCAAATAGCTTGGGGTTTGTGGCTCCGTCTGCACTGGATGCTGAGCAAACCTGCAAACTGCTTAGGTGTTGTCCTACTTGTGTTTGTAAAATTGGCTTTAACCCAACACTATTGCAGGGGTTTATATCAACGGGTTGCACTGAGGTGGGGTTGGCTGCATCCAACCAGGGTGATGGGGTGGACATGTTTGCTCTAGGGCTTTCTCAGCACAAAGCAGGTGACCTGGGTTTTGCCAGAAGACCAAGCCAGAGTCCCAAATCAATGTGACATATGAGCAGTTGGGGATGCTCCTTTGTCAGCACATTTCTAGCCCACCACAGCTCATGCTCTCTGGCATGATGCTCCAGCCTGACAGGAGGATGACACAACCCAGGGACTGTCCCTGGTCCCCTTTGGCCAGGCTGAGAGTGGCCAGCATCACGCTGGCCTGCCAAGGAAGGACTTACCCACGGTGCAGATGGGCCGCCTGTAGGGTACCAGCCCGAAGCTGTACTGGAAGATGCCTCGCGCGTGGAAGAGGGGAAGGGAGATGCCCATGATCTGCTGGAGCCGGTGCTGAAGCTGCCGCAGCCAGGAGCCCTTGGGGTTTCTCACCTGCTCAAAGAGGTCATTCTCCCCAAAGGAAAAGATGGGGACCAGTGGGGTGCTGCGGGGAGCCGAACCCAATGTAGGGGCACGGTTAGCAAATCCTACCCCAAAACACCTTCCCCCCTTCTCCAAAACCAGCAGAAACACCCCATTAACCAGCCACAGACCAGAGCATCCATGCCCACGCGCTCCTTGACCCCATCCCCTGCATCACCCGTGCTCGATGGCCAGGCGGACAAATCCCTTTCTATTCTTCAGGAGCAAGGTGCAGGATCCTGGCCGGGCATCCAGCGCCTCCTGAGCCCCTCCAACGATGATAGCCAACATGTTCCCACCCTCCGGCCTCTGCAGCACGTAGGACGCGCTCTCCTTGTCAGAGGAGACAAGCCCTGGAGGGCAGAGAGGAAGAAAAAACGAGCATCCGTAAAACCTACACGGCTGTGGTTTGCTCTGTACCTTTCTTCCCCATTATCCAGCTCTGAAGGGGTGCCAGACACTTTATATTCAGAGTTTTCCTACACTTCGGCAATCTCAGCCCAGCTCCCCTGAGAGTGCTGGATTCACGCACGGATCTATTGTGTGAATATACAATTATCCCTTTGCTCTCTGGCCCAAAAGTGAGAAATGGGAAAAAAATCAGGATAAAAGTAAACTGAGAAGTAGCTGCACTTAAGCCCCAGGGAAAATCTGTTTCAGCTTGTTGTCAGATGAAAGCATGTCCAACCTGAATCATTCCAGAGGCAGTGAAACGTTTGCTTTAGGTCAAAACACGCACGAATTTCAGTAGATGGTTCTAATCTAAAGTGGAATTTAATGCAGAATTTGGTCCCTTGTTGTTATTTACTTTCAAAAGTTAGAAACCTTTAATTCAGAAATGACAAAGCAATGTTTTTTGATTAAAAAAAAAAAATCTTTGTTTCAGGGGCTGCAATAATTTGCAGATTAAAACCTCTTTGTCAAATGGATTCAATCGACCTGAAAATGAGCCATGCAGCGAACTGCCATGTTACGGCGATTAAACCTTCTTTCACCTGGGTCGTAACTCCCTTGTATCTTACTGCTATGATTCCTCACTCTCCATGTATATATTTTTTCAGCAGCAGGAGCCAGGGTTTACATGGAAAACAGGGTGACACATGCCCTGGGATATCTCGGACGGAGCTGGATGCCTGTGTTTTGTCTATTGAATCCTGCCTACGACATGAGCCCATTTGGCTGGGGAAGTGGCCGTTCCCCCAACTCACCGGTGACAGATGGAGGCCATCTCCTGCCGGTCTCTAAAAATCTCACCAGACCCCCTTTCTTCTCTCTCAATTTAATTTTTAACTATTCCTTTTCATTTTTTCTTCCTCTCCTGCCACGTGGTTTTGCAACAGCATGAGCTGCTATTTACAACCTCAACCTCATTTACAACCAGGGAGGATGCTGCTTCCCTGCACGCAGCAGCATCTTTGGAAAAATGGGTTTTCTCCTTCTTTCAGTGGCAACCACAGTTTCAAGCCTGAGTGTTATTTGCATGGAAAGAAAGAAAGAAATACAGAACCACCTTGCCCTGCTGGTCTCAGCATTTCTGCTCACAATTTGCTCTGCATTTTGCTGTTACCCAGCGCCTAGCACAGCGATGCCCTGAGCTCAGAGGCGATCTATGAAGTCAAACAACAGAGATAACAGCTAGGAGGGCAATTTTTAACTTCAGAGAGTTTTTAGGTGCCACCTGCAGTAGCTATGTCCATGCATGGGATCCAGTCGGTCACAGATGGGGACAGACCGACCCTTGACTCCTCTTCCCCTGGTCCCTACACTCTCTGCGCCCCCAAAAAACACCCACCCATCCCACCCCTTGCCAGAGGAGTTGATCCGTGCCACCACCCTGCTTACCTGCACTCATCAGGCACTCCCTGAAGAATGGGATGCGAAACCACAGGGAGAGCATCATCAGGTGTGGGGTGATGCCCGGGAAAAGAGTGGAAAATCCTGATGCCTCTGTGCAGAAATTGATAAAGGCTCCCACTGCCAGGATCCCGTGGGGATGAAATCCCATCAGGTAGTTCTGCCTAGGGTCCAGCTCCGCTGTCTTCACCAGCTGGACACAGGGATGGAGCCAAAAAGGGGCTGTGAGTTAGTGTTGGCACCTTGCAGGGATGGAGCACTGGCTATGAAGAACAGACAGGAGATTGCTGGAGGGGAGTCCCCAGCGCCCACCGTGCCTTCTGTTGGAAAAAGTCAACTGGAACAACTCAATCATTTTTCACTGGGATGTATTTTATTGCCTGTATTTCCATCTCCTCCCACTCATTGTCCCCAAATGACATTTCCAGTGGCACAGTTCCTCATGTTTCCTTGAGCTGGCCTAGACGCTGTTGGGAGCTTACTTTGTTTAAAATGTCCTCCAATACATTTTCTAATATGTGAAAAAAAGCTACAAAGTGAGAAAAGGCTGATTATTTCCTTCCATCCCACAACCAGAAGAGCAAAGGGAGTGCAGAATCACTCCAGTAATGATCCATGTAAAGCTGCTACCTGGCGCAGGGACACGTCCCTGCTCAACAACATGGTGCGGACCCAAGGTTTGTCCTGTCCTGAAGTACGTGTCAGGTGATTCAAGGATGCTTTCATACATGGTAAGGTGAGCTCCAGCTCCCAGACATGTAACAGAGAACAAGCTGATGGTTTTCTTTCCATTGGGAAAAGCCTGCAAGAACGCAGCTGTTTGTGCCTGTGTTAGGTGCCCAGGTAATCCATGAGTCCATCAAAGAGCAATGGATGTCTACCCAAGGTTGCTGCAGTTTTACTGGGAGAAGGGAATGAGGAATGCCCACGTCCAACCTTTAGGAATGGACAGCATGGACTGTAGATGCAGTGCAGCATGTGGCCAGCCCTTCAGCGTTGGCTAAGCAGCTAGCTGAAACACTCGGCCAGTCTGAAAGTGGGTTTGGAGCCTGGGAGATGCTACATGGGAGAACGGGCACCACAGCAGAAGAGGGGACGATTAAAGGGAGATAAGAGACAACCAGGGTTTGGACTCTGTGGTTTACAATTCCTATGGACTGCCCAGAGGAGAGGGGCTGGTATGATAAACTCGCCCTCCAGCTATGCCACCAGGAAGACCCTACCATGCCAACATCAGCCAGCACATGCATAACCCAGGCACAAGCAGCCAAAACCGAATGCTGATGCCTCTGCACCCTTTCTGTGGGTGCCAAGGATGGTCCCAGCGCTGGGGAAGGATGAACCTTTCCAAGGCTAGCCATCACAGAGCCACCATGAATTTCCAGACAGCTCAAAGGCATTTGTGCTCAAGAAGAACCAAAGCCCTGTGCAATTTAGCGCATCGCCCCTCTGAGTACTCAGGTCCCATCCTCACTCGGGGAGTAGCTAATGGTGCATGTGTTTTCCTAGAAGTACCAGAACCAGAGGTTAATCACGAGGGTGTATTTTACTTTCTTACATCATGGCTAATTTCCCATCTGTCCTAAGGCACTGTTGACTGTACACATGTGCCCATTCAAGCGCCTGCTCCTAATGAGGGAACGGACAAACAAGAGTCCCACTGCTACCTGGGTGCAGAGGTGCCTACGCAGGAAGAGGGGCAGATGGCTGAATTGCTAAGTGCCCAGGGCCCCTGCCACCATTTGCTCATTTTCGAGTAATCTCAGCTTGCATCAATGTTTCCTGCATTCATCTTTGGATTCCAAACAGCCTTTCATCTCTGCGTGATTCATAAGCAGGGAGCTGACATGCTCGGGTGTGTTGGAAACCACTAAATCTTCGGCTGCGTGTGCATGGGGTGGCAAGAAGGGGGGGGGACAGCAGGCTCCACACCCACTTGCATCCCAAGCTCATCCCAAGCTTTTTTGAAAAGCCAAACTCAGGGTATCAACTGAGCTGTGCAAACTGCTTCTAACAGGAGAGTTCACCTATGCAAAGACACCTCACATCCTTAAAAACTCTCCCTAGGAGACATCCAGCTGCTGCCTTGGTGCTAACCCCAGTGAAAGGGGAGGAAGGACAGGAGAAGAAGGAGTGACGAATAGGGCTTGTAGAGATAGGACAAGGGGTAACAGTTTTAAACTAAAAGAGGGCAGATTCAGACTAGATAGAAGGAAGACATTTTTCACAATGAGGGTGGTGAAGCACTGGCCCAGGTTGCCCAGAGAGGTGGTCAATGCCCCATCCCTGGAAACATCCCAGGTCAGGTTGGACGGGGCTCTGAGCAACCTGCTCGAGTTGGGGATGTCCCTGCTCATGGCAGGGGGTTGGACTAGATGGCCTTGAAAGGTCCCTTCCAACCCAAACTATGCTATGATTCGATGATAAGAAGTGAAGAAGAGGAGAGGGGAAGTTACGTCCCCTTACAAAGGACTGGACACCCACCAACCAGCAATTTTTCCAGCTCTGCTTCTGGTTGATCATATTTTCTCTTGTTTTCCACTGAGATTGCCTTTTGATTTATTTTATTTGTTGTACTGCGCACCATTTTTCAAACACTGCGTTTTTCATCTTGTTTTGCACTGCCATATTATTTGCTGGGATTTTGGGGTTGGGTTTTTTTAGGCTAACTCTGGCCACAGACAAAGCTAAATGCAACCCCTGGTGTTTTGCAATGCTCTAGGATGGCACGTCCATCTCTGATAAATGATTCCTCATCTCCCTTGTAGCCTCAATGCCACTAAAGTCTGGAGTCCTGCCAACCACTGTTGGTTCTGGATTGGGCCTTTTAAACCACACACGCATTTTGGAGCTTGATCATGATTTGTATATCTGACTCAATATATCCTATCCACCCAGCTGACAGGAACCTCATGAAGTTCAGCCAGGAAAAGTACAAAGTCCTGCACCTGGGGAGGATCAGCCACAAGCACCAATACATGCTGGCAGTCACCCAGCTGGAAAACAGTTGGCAGAAAAGGGCCTGAGGGTCCTGATGGACACTAATTTGAACATGAGCCAGCAATGGGGCCTTGCAGCAAAGGCGGTAAATGGTGTGTTCCTCTGTGTTAGATATATTGCCAGCAGGTGGAGGGAGGTCATTCTTGCCCTCTACTCGGCACTGGTGAGGCCACACCTGCAGTGCTGTGTCCAGTTCTGGGCTCCTCAGTAAAAGAGACATGGACATACTGGTGAGAGTGCCGTGAAGGGCCACAAAGAAGCAGGAATATCTCTGCTGCGAGGACAGGCTGAGAGAGCTGGGACAGTTCAGCCTGGAGAAGAGATGGCTCAGGGGGATCTCAATGTGTAGAAGTACCTGAAGGGAGGGTGCAAAGAGGACAGAGCCAGGCTCTTTTCAGTGGTGCCCAGTGACAGGACCAGAGGCAATGGCCACAGACAGAAACACAGGAGGGTTCCTCTGAACATCAGGAAAAACTTTTTTACTGTGAGGGTGACCGAGCACTGGCACAGGTTGCCCAGGAAGGTTGTAGAGTCTCCAACCTTGGAGATGTTCAAAAGCTGATGCAGTAGCACTGACCACGTCTTAGTGACTTAGTTGAATTATTTGCCTCTTTCAGCTCTGTAAACTGGGCTCCCTCCAGGGCATACGCAAGGGAGGGGAGAGAAGGTTCCCATGTTATCACAGTGTCTGTTCACATTTGGGTGATTTGGCCAGAACTTACAGAGAAACCAAAGAGCTTGTACAAGACTGAGAAGGAAATCTGTAGCAGAGAAGAGACTTGGGCAAAGTCTCTTATGCTGTAGGTCAGGCTTCTGGATGCTGAACTATCTTTCTCTTTCTGGTAACTCTTCAACGCAGAAACTCCATCCTCCCATCTGGATCGTTCCCATTGTTTATTCGCTTCTTCCCTTTCCTCCTGCCAGAGGTCAATCTCTGTTCCCAAACTGCCAGGAAAGTTAATATGCACAACCCAGCTCTTTCCTGCACTCCAGCCCCAAAGTGCTTAATGGGGCTGGGGCTGAGGTGCAGAGGGGTGGGACTCTCCTCCCTCCAGGCTTGGTCAGGTTGTCATTTCCACACCCACCAGATGGCATCTGCTGCTCTGGTCTTTCTGGATCAGTTGAACCTTTAATAATTGTCAAAGGACTTAAGGGTCCAGCCAAGCTGTTCTATGCGTAAATATCTAAGTGAGACAAGCACTTCACTTGACGTTTTCTTGGTAAGACAAGAGCAGTTTCTCATCTCAAAGGCATCTGAGGGATGCCAAATTAATGTGTTATGACCTATGGTCCAAAGGCAAAGAGCTGTTATCAGCTCAAGGTTGTGCTCTCCAAACTGAACCATGGGTTTGCTGGCTTCCCTGAGCTTCTCCTTGGCATGGTTGGGATGCTGGCTTGTTTCTCGGCTGCTGACAGTGGTAATGATCCTTTGTCAAAGGTGTTATAAGTCCTTCCAGATCTCAGATCTGGGATGATCTTGGCCTTCCCAACAAATGAACTTAAATTTGTATTTTGAAAGATGAGGTCTACTTTATGATTCTTCTTCATGGAGAAATATCTTGGTAGCTTCAGTCGTTCAGTGCTCACAGTGATTACTGTAGCAGAAGTGCCCCTTTATTCTGTCTAGTCAAATGTGGATCCAAGACATGGGTAAAACCCTGCCCCAGTTCCCCCAGCTCCCACAGAGATCTGGTTAGACCTGCTCCATGCACTGTCAGCTGTGTTAGGGAAATGCATATGCAGACTTTCAGGAGCTCGTATAAAAGCCCATGTACTGGCGAGGGTCTCAAGCAAATTAATCCAAATTAGTTTTAAACTGCATTAGTTAAACCACATTAACATCCCAAGTAGATGCTCTTAGCTGGAATTAAAGTGGCCTTCATTTGGTATTTGTTTTGGTTTGGTTTTAATTCATTTTGGAGTGGAATTAAGCTAATTGGAATTAGGGCTTCTGAGTGACTGCATCAGCACAGGAGTTCAGCACTGTTTTAGCAAGGCTGTTTTAATTCACCTCTCGAGCTGTGGCTGGGGTTTCCTGGTTGTCCCCTATGGTCTGGACTGTCCTGCCCCAAATCACAGGAAGAGAAAGGACAGGTCATTCCCTGTGTGAGGCTGGTTCCTGCTTGAGGAAAGTAAAATTCTCCCTGAGTCCAAAGGGTTGGAGAGCTGGGTGCTCCAGCATGCCCTGGAGAT